GGGGAGGGGGGGGGGCTTTGTCTCGCTCTGGCATTTCCTGGATGGGGCTGGACTCGCTTTGGGGTGGATCTCCAATGGTTTGTCTAATCGGACTGAGCAAGTTTGTAGTCCTCATGGCCGGGAGAGCAGACGCACGGGGTGGTGGAGGGTCTTTTCCAGGGGAGAACTTCCAGGCTCCAAGTGACCAGGGGATGCTGGCTAGGGAGGGAAGAGGTGGCGTGGGAAGAGCCGGGTTCCAGTCCTCCCATTGGCACCGGAGATGTGGGGCCGGTCCCTGTAAACATGTCCCAAGGGGTATGTGTGTGTGTGTGTGTGTGTGTGTGTGTGTGTGTGTGGAGAGTATCTGAGCCCATCCTCCCTTTTCTCTGGGGCTTTTGTGGAAGGGACAACCTCACCCTCGTGGAGAGGGTCAGGTTGTGGCTTTACGAACTGTGTGTGCGTTGTGTGTGTTGGTGCGCTCACTGTAGACCAAGCCCCCACCTAGGTGGGAAACCTGCAATCGCTGTGCGTCTGCAATGGGGCTTCCTTTCCAGGCAGCCTCCATGGGGCGGGATTCAAACTCGGGACCGAACTCTTGTTCCACCCCCCCACCCCCCTTTCCTCTTTCCCGCAGGGTCTGCTTGGCCGTAACTCCTGACGGTCACCATGGAGAATGAGCAGATCCAGACGCCGACGCCGCTCAGCAACCCGGGGGCCACCAGTACCACGGCCACCACGGCCCCCAGCAGCAGCGGCGGCAGCAACAGTGGGCGCCAGGCAGGGCCCCCCATCTCCGTCTACAGTGGGATCCCCGACCGGCAGACCGTCCAGGTGAGGGGAGAACAGCCGGGCCTCCTGACTGGGGGGGGGGGGGGCAGAGTTCTGGAAGGAAACCAACTGCATGTTCCCACCGCTGGGACCGGTAGCCTTAAGGGCGGGTCAGACTAGATGGCCTTGGAGATCCAACCTCCGCAGTTTCCGACAGTACAATTCCTGCATGCTCTTCAACCCCTGGACACGATTAGAGGGGATTCTCTCTGCCACGGGGGGCATTTGAATCAAGGTTAGAATCTGTCTCTCTGGTGGGGCTGGACCAGATGACCTCCAGGGCCCCTTCCAAGGATCCCGTAACGGGTTTGGAACCTTTTGGTGAATATCGCCCTCTAGTGGCCCTTTGGGGCAAAGCCGTGTGACAAACAGAGGCTAATGAACCCTTGCAGAAGTAATTAAATAACGTTAATGAAGAAGCTGCCCAGGTGACCTTATTATTACCTTCCTGCCGGCTGGGGGGGAGGCGGGGGGGGGGCTGCCGCCATGCACCGCCTGAGTTCCCTTTTCGGAACGGGGCCTCCGGGTTAGAAAGAGCCCGGCATCATCCGGCTTGTAACGTTGCTGGCTTAATCGTGGCTTGGTGCAAATCACACGCTATGCAAATGACCAAGGGTTACAATAGGCCAAATCACTGCGGTCTACAAACCATGGTTTGTTATGGTCTCTTGGGTCCCTCTGGCTGATTTTCAAATCACGCCATACAGAAAGTCCTCGACTTACAAAATTCACTTAGTGACCGTTAGACATTACAATGACCCTGAAAAAAAGGGGGACTCGGGGCCTTTTTCACTCGGGTGACCGATGCAGCATCTCCGCCGTCACGCGTGATCCACGTTTGGAAGCTTGGCAACCGGCATGTGTCAGTAGGGTCCAGTTAACAACCGTGACACTTAACGACCGTGTTAGTAGCTTAACAATCGCAGCCTTTCCCTTAAGGATTGTGGCAAGGAAAGTTGTAAAATGGAGCAAACATCCAACCTGTTTTCTTGATTCCCGCAAGCTCCAAAATTAAATTTTGGAAACTTGGAAGTCGCATATCCGTTTGAAGAGTTGGGACGATTCTATTTAAGTTCCCGGCCTTGTTTTTTTTGGTTTTTTTAAAGGCGTCAAAACTGGATAATTGATTGATCATTCTCACACCCCGACAAAAATGCTTGCGAAAATCACTTTGCCTTTTTTTCGTCTGGCGTCCCCCCCCACAAATCCCTCCAGCCCTTTGGACGGTGCCAAACGCTAAATCTTCAGGCCGCAAGGAAGGGTCCTCTCCACCCCCACTCCTCCTCAGCCTGTTGGACTACAGTTCCCATCATCCTTCAGCAGGAAGGACGGAGGAAGAGGGGAAGGCTGGAGAATGCAGCCCCCCAGGTGGAAGGAAGCCCAGAAAAACTTTTGGGAGGAGAGGAGAGGAGGGGTGGGCTTTGAGTGTGTGTTTGTGTCTCTCTGTGTGTGTGTGTGTGTGTGTGTGTGTGTATGTGTGAGGGGGGGTGTGGATTCTCCAGGATCTGGCAGGGGACGGGCGGCTCCTTTCTGATGCAGAAACTTTCACCTTTGTCCCTCCGGATTTAGAGAGCCCCATAGCCCCTCCCTCCCCCCCCCAGCCCCCCCCCCCAAGGCTTACTCCTTGGCAGTGGACCCCCATCCCCGCCTACGCGAAGGATCTCTGCCTCCACGGACCAAAGCGAAGGTATTTTTTTTCTATCCCGAAGCTCTTTTAAGGCCAACAAAACCCACAATCTGAGCTTCTCTCTGCAGCGTGGGAACGGCATTGTTGTGTTGCATTGTTTGTGAACCCCTTTCGGGGTTGCTTTTCATCCCCGGTGTGTGTGTGTGTGTGGGGGGGGGGAGATTCCGCTGGTTCCTTGGGGTGGTCTCCGGAGTTTGCAAGGACTGTGTAGGGATTTCCCATCCAGGTTTGGGTTTAATCGGGGTTTGTGTTGTTGTGGCTTGTTATTGGAGAACGAGCTCCCTGCGTTCGCACTCGGGGGCTGAATTCGCCCACCTTCTGGGTGTGCTCGGCAACCAAACTTGACACCACAAGCTCAGCCAGGGACCTTTTGCAGGTGTGCTGCCACACCCCCAAACTTACACACACCTGCTGAAGTCTTATTCTGGGCTCAAAAGCCGCCGTCCTTCACCGGTCGGGTTCACACACATCACACCAAGTGTGCTTTAGGGCGGAGGCTGGTCTTGGACACCAACGGATGTGCGTTAGTTTTGTGATTGTGTCTCAAAGTTCTCTGCTTTTATGGTGTGTGACTATGTGTGTGTACTGATGATGATGATCATGCAAAAGAAAAAATAATAATTGAAGTTACAGCTGGAATTCTGTAACTGAAGTCCAAGAAAACCCCAAACAGCTGGTCCTTGACTTAAGACCGCAATGGAGCTCTAAATCCATGTTGCTAAGTGAGACAGCTGTTAAGTGAGAGCTTTGCCCCCTTTTACAAATGTTCTTGCTGTTAAGTGAATCATGGCAGTTCTTAAGTTAGTAACGTGGTTGTTTACCGAATCCGCCTTCCCCCTCGTCGGAAGGTCGTAGATGGGATCCCCTGCCCCTCAACCCTCATAAGTACATGCCAGTTTCCATCACCTGACCAGGGGGTGCTGCAATGGCCATAAGTGTGAAAAAGTCCCTTGTTTCAGTGCCGTCGTAACTCTGAACGAACGGTTATAAGTCCAGGGCTGCCGCCCTTATTTTCTGCCCTGAGGGTTTTTCCTTCCCCAGAATCATTTAAAGGTATATTAATTTCAGGGGGTGGGAAAAAGTCAAAATAAAAATGTTTTGTGTGTGTGTGTTTCCTACCACTGAGAGGAAGGCCGAGCGTCCCACCGGTGTTGTGTCCCTCGAAGAGCCGTGTGCCGCTGTGGAAACAAAATACACAAAGTTGTTTTAAGTAGCACTGCGAAGGATTCCTTTCGGGTTTCTCTGACGCACGCGGGAGAATGTCAGGGGGATGATTGATGACTCCTTTTGATGGCTGCCCCGGGACCCCTTGCAGCCCCCTAAAGGTCAAAGCATTGAGACCCCCATTAACCTTTGATCGGACCCCCTCCTCTCCCTTCCCCCCATTGATGGGGAGGGGGCGAGGGGGCCGTCAGGTATTTAGATAGCAGCAACTTTTCCTTTTGTGAGCAAAACACCCAGGCCTTCCCTTCCTCCCTTTGCAAACAACTTCTTCTCCTCCTCCTCCTCCTCCTCCCCCTCCTCCTCCTCTTCCTCCTCCTCCTCCTCCTCCTCCTTCCTTCCTTCCTTCCTTCCTTCCTTCCTCCTCCTCCTTCCTGGGCAGGTGATCCAGCAAGCTTTGCACCGACAGCCCAACACAGCCGCCCAATACCTGCAACAGATGTACGCTGCCCAACAACAGCACCTGATGCTGCAGACGGCCGCGCTCCAACAGCAGCACCTGGGGAGCAGCCAGCTGCAGAGCCTGGCCGCCATCCAACAGGTCTGTCGCTCTGGGGGACAGGGGGGAAGGGAGGGGCGAGGCCACCCCAAAAGGCAGGGACTCAACCACGCCGAAAGGACACGGATTTAGTTTTGTTTTCCGGATTGGTTTGTTGGTCAAGAGTGTAATCAGGGTTGTGGGAATGCCCCCTTGACACAGTGGGGGTCCCGCTGACCCCTCCCCCCTTTTGCAGGCCAGCTTGGCAGCCAATCGGCAGGGCGCCTCCCCCTCCTCCAACGGGGCCACGCAGAGCCCCCCACAGCAGCAGCCGCAGCAGCCGCCGCCGCCGCCCACGGTAAGACGGAGCCTCCCTCGGTCCCCCTCTAGCACCCGCTTTCCTCCGGCGCAGCCGGGCTCGCTGACTCGCTCGTCTCTCGGTCCAGATCAACCTGGCCACCTCCCCCGCGGCGGCCCAGCTCATCAACCGGGCGCAGAGTGCGAATTCTGCGGCCACCGCCTCGGGCATCGCCCAGCAAGCCGTCCTTTTGGGCAACACCAGCAACCCGACTCTGAGTGCCAGCCAGGCGCAGATGTACCTCCGGGCCCAGATGGTAAGCGACGCTCCGTGGGGGGTGGCCACGGGGCGCGGGGGGGGTGTCCCAGTCTGGCCCGAGGAGGGGAGGGGTCCTTCCACAGCGGGGTGCCTCTGCCTCCAGGGAGGGTGCCAAGCTGCGTGGCCAGGGGGTCTGTGAGAACATGCAACCCCATTGCCTGTCAGAAGGTCACAAAACGGGGATCCTGGGACGGTGAAGAAGGTAGAACTGAGGAAGCTTCTTGGATGAGAAGCGAAACGTTTTAAGAAACACCAGGACGTCCGGTTGCCATTTTGGGATAATCACGGCCTGGATGACCGAGAGCCTCCGGAGACGTTTGTCTGAAAGGGCCGAGGGTCCCCTGCCTGGACAGGGGGTTGGACTAGGAGACCTCCAGGGCCCCTCCCAATTCCACTTTACTGTCTTCCGAGACCCCCACTCCAAACAAGGAGCGACTGGTCACGGCGGCTGCTCCACCCCTGGAGGGTTTCAAGAGGAGGCTGGGCAGCCCTTGGACGGGGGTGGCGTAGGGTCTCCTGCTGGAGCTCCGGGGCTGGACTAGAGGGCCTCCGGGGTCCCTCCCAGCCCTGGGGTCCCGTCTGCTGGGCTTGGCTGGCTGGGATCCGCAACGGGGGAATCCCATTTGCTGTGATTTCAGGCCCAGCAGACAAGTTTAATGCAAGTAGCTAGGAGCCTAGGCCGTGCTGTTCCTTTGTCCCCCCAGCTCATCTTCACGCCCACCGTCGCTGCCGCCGTCCAGCCCGAGGGCAGCACCAGCACCAGCAGCATGCAGCCTCCCGCCCCGCCCGCCCCCCAGGTAAGGGGGGCTTTGGGCCGAAGGAAAGGCGGGGAGTCCGGGACGGACGGGAGCCGGAAGCTCCCCCTGACACGGAGCCCCCCCCTTCTCCCCAGGTGCAGAGTCCGGCCCTCCGGATGCCGCAGCAGGCGGGGGTGGGCCAGGCACTCAGCTGCCCGCCGACTCAGCCGCCCGGCCCAGTGGCTATCAGACCCGCTCTGAATAACGGCGGCCACCCCTGCCCGGCCTCCTCCTTCGTGCCCCCCTCCACCCCCCCTGCCACTCAGGTGAAGGGCGCCAAGGAAGGCCTGGCCGAGCACCTGAGGAAGGGGGGAGGGGGCGGGGCAGGGGGCGGCAGCAACGGGACAGCGGGCGCCTTGGACGGACGAGGCGGCGCCCCCAACCGGACCGGCCCCCCGGCCTCCACTCACTCGCTGATTGCCCCAGGTGAGCACGTCTGAACGGGGCCTGGCCAGAGGGTGGCGAAAGGACCAGGGGAGCGGGGGGGGGGGGGCTTTTGGTTCGGGGTCCTTCCCTCCTCCTCTCCTCCCTTCTTTTTCCTTCTCCTTCCTTTCCTCCCTTCTTCCCCAGCCTTCTCCCCGGCCCAGGCTCAGCCGCAACAGCCCCCGCCTCCAGCCAAGCCCCTCCCGCACCAGTTGGTGATCCAGCAGCACCTCCAGCCCAAAGCGCCCCACCTGCCGGCCTTCAGCCCCCCGGCCCCCCCGCTGGCCTGCCAGCCTCCCACCCAGCACAAGCCGTTGAACGCCAGCCGCACATCGCCCCCCCTTCCCGGCCCTCCGGCCCTGGGGCTGCAGCGGACGGACGGACGTCCCGCCGGGTGTCCGAACCACGCCACGCCGCACAAGTTCCAACACACCTCGGCGGTCATTCTCCAGTTGCAGCCGCCCGTTGGGACGGTGAGTGTGTAAAAGAGGCGCGGGATTTCCAGGTGGGGCCTCTGCCCTTGGCTTCCAGGGAGCTTCTTGCTTGGGGCCCTGAGGTGGAAGGGTGCCTTAAGGCCATCCAGTCCAACCCCTGCTCCAAATTGATGGTCACCCCAACCTCGCCCAGCCAGGGAAACTTAACCTGTTTGGGGTCGTCGGTGTTTGTAGCTCGGGGGTCCTCGGTGCTCTCTGAACTGGGGGGTTTTCGTGCAGACATTTTGTTGTCAAACTAAGTAACATCATCAGTGCTATGTGGCTAACCTGACGATGTTACCTAGTTTGACAACAAAACGTCTTCAAGAAACGCCCCCAGTTCAGAGAGCACCGAGGACCCTCACGACCGTCATTGTCCCCCACATCTCCTCCTCCCTTCCAGCACTGATGAGGTCCCCTAGTTGGGTCATGAAACATCTGCAAGGAAACCACCGCAGGGCCCCACAGCTGCAGATCCGGAAAATGCCCTTGTCTCTTTTGCCCTCTGACGCTTCTCTTTGCTTCCTTTCTCCATCTGCAGCTGCCCCTGAGCGTCCCGGAGGGTCCCCGGAAAGAGGCGGCCCTTGTGCCCCCCGAGGCTGCCTGCCCGTCTCCGTCGGCCCCTCCCAAAGCTCCAGCTCCTGAGGGCACCGCCCCCCCGCCACACGGTAGGAGCCCCCCCTCCCTTCTTCCCCGGGAACCCGGAGGAAGGTCCTTCCCGTCATTGGGGACCCCTCGGAGGAACCTCCCCGTTCAGGGCAGTCCACCTGCAGTTAAGCCCGGCCCCCTTGGCTCTGGGGAGCTTTGGACGGGGATTATGGGCTCTAATGGTCCGGCCGAAATGGGGAGCCCTCGTCAGAAGGTTGCAAAAGGGGACTGTGGACGCTGTGACAAATGGCCATAGGTCCCTTTGGTCACTAAGTGAACCGTTGTTTGTCCAGGGCTGCCTGTGATTTGCTTTCTTTCTTTTTCCTCACAATTTGAGAGCCTTGTTTTTTTTAAATCCAGCTGCTCAGGGGGCAGACTGTGATTTGCACCCCCATTTTGGGCTCCTTTGTGGTCATAAGTCGAGGACTATCTGTGTCCAGGTGGTCCTTGACTTATAGCCATTCATTTTGGGACCGTCCGAAGGGGTGAAGTAAAGGGGCCGTGTGCCCCACGGAGGAGGAGTTGGGCCTTAGCCACCGTGGAAAGAGCAAAACGGGGCTCCTTGAGGTCCTCGCCCCCACCCCCGAGGAAACCCGGGGTCCCCTTTGCTGCTCTTTTACCCGGCTTCCTGGGGGGGCCACCCCTCCCCGGTCCCTGGGTGGGGAGGGGCCCCGGAAGGCCTTTTGTCTGCTCTCCAGACATTTTTCGGGGAAGGAGCGGGGTGCGACTGTCCCAGAGACAATGGGGCTGCCCTCTGCGCTTCACCCCACGGTTGGACCCCTGACCTGCCTTCCCGTCCCCCTTCCCGGCCAGTTCAATGGAGCGGAGCCCCCCCCCCCCGGGAGGGGTGAGGTCACATCTGCACTGCCCCTCCCCAACCAGGCCGGACAATACTACTTGCAAGCCAGGACAGGCCTTTGTGGAAAATGCAAGGGGGCGGGGGTGGGGGAATTGGGGGTGGGGGGGGCCTCTGTGTGGCATTCTGGGAGTTGAAGTCCTCCAGGCTTAAAGTTGCTACGGTTGGAGACCTCTGACATATAGAGCGTATCTGCCCCCCCCCCCCCCCCCGCAGAAGCAGCTGTTTCACACACAGACTCCCCATTTCACACACACACACACACACACACACACACACACACACACACAGCCTCCCCTCCCTCGCCTCCAGCTGCTGCTTGGTGGAAACACTGCAAAGACATCTGGGAAAAGCTGTACAAAGGCGGTGGGGTCCCGTTTACCCCCCCACCCCGAAATCCCCCCCCCCAACCTCCAACCGGCCGTCTTTGCAACAAATCAGATCATGGGTTTTGCAGGAAAGAGGCTGGATTTTTGCACCCGTAGCCAGGATGCTTGGGTGCCACAAGGCGAAAAATAGGCCCCCTCCCTGAAGCCAATTGGGCCCCGAGCGTCATTTCCCCCCCTTACGGTAGTCCTCGACTTACGACAGCGCTGGGGGACAGAATTTCCCTTGCTGAGGCGGTGGGTGGGGGGGGCGGTTGTGCCCGATTTTACGACTTTTTCTTCCATGGATGTTGAAGTTCTCACGGCTGTTGTTGTGATTTACGGCCGCAAAAAAGAGCCTCAAATCTCCATTGCTAAACAGGGCGGCTGTTGTTGAATAGGCTTTGCCCCATTTTACGACTTTGGCCAAGGTTCTCAAAGGGATCACCGCCGTTAAGCAGATCATGCAGTCGTTCCGTTCACTTTTCAATGCAAATCTGACGAGGAGAGAAACTAAATTTAACCTTAGATTTAAATATTTAGGTTAAGGTTACCTTTAGGCACCCACCCCTACAGAGCGACAGAAAAAGTCAAGCGATTTCCAGAATGAACCAGAATAAATATAAAGTATTTATAGGGTTTGCCTGCTTTGCTTGCTTTCTCAGCTCAGCCCTTTGTCCTGGATCATGGGAGGGGGCACGTGTTTGGGCAGAGCCCCCCCTCCCCGCTCCCCCGCTTGGAGGCAAAGGGTGACCTTTGACCCTCCCCAAACAAAGGAGGTTCCTTCTTGCTGGATTCGCTGGCAGTGTTGGGATTTGTAGTCCCGATGTGGGATGGGTGTCATGTGGAGGGGGGGGCAGGGGCTACAATTTGGAAACTGGTTTTTTTTGGGGGGGGGCTCTTTAGGGGGAGGGCTCAAAAAGGCAACCCCCCCCCTCATTCCACTTGGTTCAAATGCGTAGGTGGGTTACAGACCCTCCAGAATTGGAGGGGGGGGGCTTTTGTTGCATTGCAAACCCTCTCCCCCCGTGTGTGTGTGTGTGTGTGTGTGTGTGTATAAAAAAAAGCCAGCATCTGTCTTACCGTGTGGAGGGCAGAAGGTGATTGGCAGGCCTAATAAGATTAACCCAAATGCAGACAAAGGAGAATTTACCGGCCGTTCCTTCTGCGAATCTCCCCCCACCCTCAAAAAATCTAAAATCTACCCCCCCCTGGTTGAAATCTGGTTTGGAGCAACCAGCCCCCTCCCGTACCATGAGTCCAGCCCTGGCACTTGGGGAGGGGGTCTTTCCCTTGTTTGGGGCAGCCCACCAAACTGCAGGAATCCCACTAAGGAAGTTTTCCGGATAGGCAAAAGTTTTCCTTTGATTTTTTTCTGCACAAAAATGACCCGTCTAGGAAAGTTTCCTCCTTGAGCAGGGGGTTGGACTAGAAGACCTCTGAGGTTCCTTCCAGCCCTGTTATTCTAATTGAGGGCCTCCCCAAGTGAGGGATGGAGGAAAGCGAGGGGTCCTGCGAGGGGTTTTCCCCCTAATTTTCCAGCCGGGATGGTCTGGGGGGGGGGGGGGGTTGCGAAGAGGAAAAGGATTGTGGGGTCCCTGGTTCTTTCTGAACTTGGTTGTTTCCTTGCAGGCGTTTCTGACCCAACTAGAGAACCACTGAGGGTGTTACCTAGTTGGGTCATGAAACGTCTGCAACCCCCTCAAGTCCCTCTCAGCGCTGGTCTTCTAACCGGGACCCCCTCAGTGAGGGACAAAGCAGCCTGGCGGGACCTAAGAAGGGTCCCCCCCCTCAACTCTCCAGCATAGGCTGTGCCGCGGGGTGGACTAGAAGGCCTCTGGGGCCACTCCCCACCTGCTCAGCGCGTCCGGCGCCGAGGGGCAAGAGGCCCCGCGGGCTGCGGGCGGGCGGCCTGTCCGGCCAGGGCGGCCCTGTGGGCGGCGCTGCGCGGCGCTGGATCCAGGCGGGCGCGGCGGCCAATGAGCGGCGGCGGGGCGGGGGCGGGGGCGGAGGGGACGGTCGGCCCGGCGCCTCCCCGTCCGGCTTCTCCTCCCGCGGCGCGGCGGGCGGCATTGTTCGCGCCCCGAGCCCCGAGATCCGGCCCCGCCGAGCGGCCGCGACGCCCCTTCGCGCCTCCCTCGCGGCGGCTGCCCCCGCGGCTCTTCGGCTGCTCCCGCCGCCGCCGCCGCCGCCGCCGCCACCCGGGCCGGGCCCGACCGGAGGCGGATGGGGGGCTGGGCGGGCCGGGCGGCGCGGCGGCGGCGCAGGTGACTCAGGTAAGGCAGGTGAGCGGCTCCCGGGCGGGGCGGGAGGGGGGGTCGCCTCGCCCCTTGGGGTCCCCCTTCGGCCCCGGGAGGGGGGGCTCCCGTGGATCCCGGCCGGTTCTCTGCCCCCGCCTGCTTCACCTGGCTGGTCCAAAGGGGCTGCCTTTGGGACTCCAGCGCCCATGCTCCCCTGCCAGCCGCCTTCTGGGTCCGGGGCTCCCAAATTACGCGGAGGGCGCGCCCGGTTGCCAGTTGGGTCGCGGGGCCATTTGGGCCATTTGGGGCTCTTGGGAAACGCGTGTTTGAGGACCGGCCGTTCTGGGTGTGCGACTCGGGGGACCCCGTTCGGGTGGCTCGGACTACAAATCCCATCCCAGATGCACTTGGCGTTATCCCGTTAGGGGGCGGGAGGGGATGATGGGGGAGACGGTTTCAAATGGCTTTCATCTAATGTTCTGAGACTACAACTCCCATTGTGCTTTTCTCAAGCCTTCTCTTGGGCTGGAAGTGCCTCGTGGGGGTGGATCATGGGTTGGTGCGGGGGTGGGGGGGTGTAGCCAGTCGGGGTCCCTGCCCCCCAGCTGTGCTGCCTGTAAATCTCCCCACCCCCCCATCTCCCCAACCTTTCACACGGCCTCCCAGGCCTAACCCAGGTTATCAAAACACCCGGGTGTTGACATTAGCGCTGCAAAGGGATCTTCCAGATGGCCTCCTTGTTCCTTGGAGGCTTGTAACTGGGTTGCTGCCCTGAATCTGTCTCCCTTTAACGCCCCCCTCTCCGCCAGCCCTTTGAGGTAGGCCAGGTTGAGACGCTGGAGAGAATGGGGGGGGGGGGTCAGGAATGTCGTTTTTTGCGGGTGACCGAAATTTGCAAGCCCGTTTTCTCTCTATTCCTTCTTACACACCCAGCAGATTCTAGGTGGGTAAGATTGTTTTGGGTTTCTTTTGCAAACTTTTTCCAGCGATGTGGTTTGAACCTCCTGCCGGCTGGGAAATTCGGGGAGTCGAAGGCCTCCCATCTTAAAGGTGGCATAGCGGTGCTGCTGAGGGGGGGGGGGTGCTCGGCCCCAGTGCCACCGTGGGGGTGGGAATGAGTGGGTGGGGCTCGGGGCCCCACGGATTTCCCTTCTCTCCCCTCCTGCTCAAGGGAGCCCCCTCCCCCCCAGGGGTGGAGCTCCCCCTTCACCTGGCCTGGCTTCCAAACTCCTTCCAGCGCTTCCTGGGAGTAGCCACCTTTCCTTCCCCTCCCTGTTGTGCACCCCTCCCCAAGTTATCTCTTGAAAGAATATGAAGGCAAAGTGGCTTCTGAGTGCCCTACGGAGAAGCTCCCTCTGCAGAGACCACCGGGAAGGAGGGTGGGGGCGGCTGGCTCAAAATCGCCCCCCTCGCCCCCCGTGGCTGAAGTTTGCTTGGCTTTCCGGGAGGGAGGGAGGGAGG